GAATGTAATAAACTATAATAAAAAAAACTTCCGACTTTTGTAGATGAATGTTACGTATTGAACATCATGTGCCCTAGGAAAATTTCAACTCCAAGCTATGGGAACAAACTGGGCAAACCCTTTTTAACAAAATAAATACAACAAAGCAAAGTTCTTAAGTGTATTTTTTATTAAGAGTAAAGAAACTAGTATAAACCAGATTGTCCTACACATTTTCATCACTGTCAGTGGCGTAGCTACTATAAAGCTAGCATAAGCAAGGCATAGGGACCCAAGGCATTTAGGGGCATTTTTCCCTCTTAAAAAAATTAAAACTTTTACATTTTAATATTAGTTTTATATAAATAATTTTTAAAAGAAAATGAAAATCCAGTTTTTTCTATTATAGAAATAATTAAAAGTCCCAAAAAGGCCCCCAGTCATTTCTTACTTTACAAGTAGTGGGATTCAGTGCGGGGGGGGGGGGGCTGTCGAACAGGGCCCATCTGTAATAATATTACTACAGGCTTTGCGGCATGGTCGTGCAAGCCATTGAGAGAATCAGCCTATAAATAAACTTGAACTTTGACTCTTTTGTGAGTTCAGCATCCGTAAATTAACATGCATTGCTACAAACCTCTATTAACTGGGAAATTCCCTACCCCACACCACAGATCTGAAACTTTCTGCCGTCTTCCCTCCACAAAATTCCATGCTAACAATTGAGTTATTTTTTTTAAATTACCATAGTCAGTATTTTCACAACCAGCTGAGTCCAACATTTGTCAATGTTTTTCTTTACCATAATGAAATTTTGCCATCAATAGTTCCCCATCGGCTATTTTTGCACCTGGGGTCCGTTGGTTGGGTGTCCAGCGCAGCGGGTCAGCGTTACTACTTGACTCAGCTGTCAAACTGCACCGGAGCATACGCCAGCACCCTCGGTTGTGTAACCCGGTGCGCCCCAGGCTTCTCTTGAGCACTATGGCGCCTATATTCGTTTTAATGAGCGCCATACACTATGGAAACGCTGGAATACTAAAATCGATTACTTAATTGAAAAGGGGGTGTCCTCCAGCGCATCAGCAATAGTAAAACAAAAAAATGGTCAACATGGACGGGTACGTTAGTTATTTTAAACATTCTTCAACATTCCACTGTGATCGGGAAGGAGATTTTGACCTTTATGATGATATTTTTAAATCTCATTATTTGCTCATTATGAATATGACGATGTTATTTATTATGAAACAAATTGTAGATATGCCAATTAGGTCAGTAGCTTGGCCATCCTAAGAATCAAACATACAGAGCAACTGAAGTAGATCGCAATGAACTTATTAATAATTTTACAAAATTAAAAGCATGAAACCAAAACCAGATCTAAATAAATCATGAGCAATTTTTTAATGTGTTTGGTTAGTGGCGTCACAAAGTCGTGTGGTACCCTACGCGTTTACTAAAGGTGTTACCAAATTGTCCCTAACAATTTTGCATTTTAAGTGGGTTGTCACCTCTCTTACACTAATCTTTTATTATTTTAGCTGGACACAAATTAGTTTTGAGAGTTAATTTTACAGTGCTTTGTCAAGGTGTCACGCTACTGTATTTGTTACTAAAAAAAAATTAACTGTAAGCCTGTAATATTTTTAACAAACTACATAATAATATAGTATAGATACACAATTAGGACATATAAAATATAAAACGTAAAGAATATTTATATTATTTAAAATCCTCCATTATAAAAAGCAGTTGATTTCTTGATTAACTCCATTGTAGCCTAACGGCTAACGACAGGGCACACTGATAATTTTTACATATGGGCCCGAAAATCCTAGCTACGCCACTGTACTAAGTTTGTTTACTATCTATCTATATTATACTAAAATTCAAGTTCGTTACAAGTTTGAATATTTGTTGTTTTTGTTGTTTGTTTTTGTTTTTTTTTTTTGTCTGTTCTGCGTAGAGAGAAATTTTCTTTTTTTCCCCAAATATTATACACAAATTTATTTAAATACAATAATTTATGTATTGAATTATTCATTTGTAGAAACACCTCTTTAATTTCTAATTTAATTTCTATTGTGACGTCACTTGAAACTAATATAGAATCTAGCAACATAAAAGTAAACAACACATGTCGTGCATTTTACTTTCAACTCAGTGTCTTATTGTAAGTAATTGAGTAGATTCTATTTATATTAAATTTTTTGATGGTCTGCAATTTTTTTATTCTTTAGCATACATCAACAAAAGAACATGAAAATATTAAAGATAGATACACTTCTAAAACATATTAAACTGATCAATGTCAAATAATATTTTCGCTTATATTCCTAAAAAAATGGATATATTTTAATAATAGTAGGGTCGAAAAACTAATTAGTTTAAATGTTTTATAATTTTGCCACGGGAGGTATTTTATAAAGACATTCAACTGCGGCTAAATATTTCTATTAAAGCAAAAAAATTGTGAATTTGAATGCAAATTGCATGGACGTCCGTGAGAGCATTATTTTGAGTTTTCTTTTGTGTTGCGTTTAGATTTGTGTTTTGGGTGTTGCGTTATCGTTTGCATTTGTGTTTTTGTTTGTGTTTTTTATGTGTTTGTGGTTTAGTTTTTTGTGTGTTTGCATTTGAGTTTGTGTTAAGTTGTGTTTGTTTTTCTTTTGTGTTTGCGTTTGTATATTCATTTGTGTGTTTTGTTCTTTTGCATTTTCCTTTGTGTTTTTTGTTTGTTTGCGTTGTTGTTTGTATATTCATTTGCATTTGTGTTTTAATTTGTGTTTTTTTTTTTTTTTTTTTTTTTTTTTTTTTTTTTTTTGCGTTTGTATTTTCTTTTGTGTTTATGTTTGGTTTTGTTCCCAAGCTGGTACATTTAAAAAAGATTCACCGTGGCAAAGCACTGGTATGCAGCTAGTAGTAATTTATCTAAACGAAAATAAAACTTATACACAGAACAAGATTCAAGGCCAAACCTAAATAATTAGTTAAAAGAAAAAACAAGTATACAACAATAAATAATTGAGTTTCTTTGTTAAACTAATTTAGACCCTACATTTTTGTTATAAATCTTTGCTTTATAGCTTCACTGATCATCTAATTCGAGAATGCAACGAATTTATCCAAAGCTAGATCTACCGATAAACTAGACTTAACAATTTTTCATCTGTCCGTAGATTTGATCTAGATCTAGAATCTATCTAGGCCAATAACACAAAGAATAATTTAGTTTCTTTAGTACACTATTTCAGCCCTTATTATTTTATAACATAACTAAATATATTTTCACCCATTGATATGTGCCAGCGTAGGTTGTACGGGATCAAAACACTCCTTGTCTCAGTTTTATGTTTTAATTTTCACTCATAGAAAATGCACAATGGGTTCTAATTCATTATTATCAGCTTAATGTTATTTTTTATAATATATTCATTTATTAGTCATATGAGGTTCGGGCGCAGAAAATATTATAGAAATAAATAAATGCTTTAAAAGACAAAAACATGTAAATATTGTAAGCTGATGTGTGACTTCTTTTTATATGTGAATGTTTGCCTTTCTCGACTTGGCGAGACACGGTGCAGGTGAAGTAGAGTTCGCATGTTTCCGTGACCCCAGCATATGAAGGGGTAGTGTGGTCAGACCCTTGCTCAGCCGAAATCGGTGTTTTAAATGTGGGGTTGGGCTTTTTGTGACAATGTGTGACAGTGGGGAGGGGAAAATAAAAATCGTCAAACAGTGTTGTCATTCATTTATTGATGGATGCCCCCCCCCCCCTCAAACCCACAGTTGTCCAAGGATAACAAGTGGTAAAGTCATGTATAGAATTTTGGCACTTATTTAACATTTTACGCTGTACGTTTATAAATAATGTTCTGTATTTACAGGTGCATCTACCAATGATAGTCCTAAAAAACCACTTGGTAAAAATGAAAAAGAGGAATTAAATAATTTAGTTTCTGATATAAGTACAGATGCTAATGATCATCTTGACTTGACACTTCAAGAAGAGAAAGAAATATTGCAAATTTATCTGAGTATGATAGATAACAAACCATCCTAATACTGTCTTTTGATGTGCAATTTATTCAACAACTTTTTTTTGTTTAAAAATAATACCCCAAATATTTAGAAGATTTCAAATTTTCATGACTACTAACAACTATTATAATTATTAGGCCTACTTGATTTTTTTACTTACAAAAATCTACACCAAACTTTAATTGCAAGTACTAGAATCTAGCACTGTTAAATTGTACATCAAGTTCAGTGATGATCTATTAATTTTTATTCTCTAAGAATTAGATCCTAATCTAGTAGAACTAAATCAAACTAGAAATGTTTGTGTTATTTTCAGCTAGTAGTGTCTAGATTTAGATAGATCTAAAAATAAATAATTGTTTTAATCGACAAGGTGCTCAGATAGATAAAATGTTTAAAACATTACTTGAAAGTGTACCCCCCCCCCCCCCAACCGGGTAAATATTCTGGAAGAAACTCTAATTCGTTGGGCGTGTGACCTTCCAGTAAAGGTCACCAGCCATGGCGCAACAGTTCCTAGATGAACACGAACGGCCATGTGTTCGTGACCAAAGCGGGCACCCTAGATGGGGGCATCCCGCTGTGGTCAGGCATGGAGAGGGGTGAGCGCTGCCATGCGATACCACCCCTAGACAAACCACTCTGCCCCCAACAAAGGTTAAGGGTTTATTTGATCTTTAAAGTTGAAACAAATACCTTCCATTAAAAATGCCACCCCTTGTGCAGTCAAAAACACTTTCCGATGGAAATTCAATAGCGATTTTACTTTTAGCTACGGTTTTTATTGAATGTTTGTCACTGAGTAATAAATACTGAGGCTTATCTTGTGCGAGCTAACAGTACAGTGTTTCTTCCAGACTATTTTCTCGGGGGGGGGGGGGTGCATTGGTATTTGTTTTCTATATAAATTCCATTTCGTTCTGTGGTAGCTTATTGAGTAGCTCACTTTTTTTTCTCAGAATTTTCACCATACACGTTGTAGATATAAATGAACAGAATATCATAACGTATGTACCGAAATTTGTCTCAACTGATGGTAGAGAGGCTTTGAGTTTAAGATTAAGTGCCTTAAGCGCAGGGATCTTACTTGTTATTTAACTTTGAAAGTTCGATTTATTTAACACATTAAATTAGACTATTATTTTTGGTTTATATTTTCTAATAGTGTTTGTTTTTATTCCCCCTTTTCCTTATAATAAAATAAATGAGTTTCAATTTATTAACCTCGTAGTTCGTTTTTTTTTTTTTTTTTACAATATTTAACAGCAATGTGAAAACTTTCTCTATGGTTCTGAGACGTGAAAATAAACAATGCCGAACTTTGGAGAAAAACTGGCTAAAACTCTATATGCAAATAAATACAGAATGCAACGGGGATGGATTGGACATACCTTGTATGATGACGCAAGGCTACGTCAAGGGTAGGTCAAGCAGATATAGGTTAGGGCCTAGCAGAAACAGACTATAGCGAGTTGGCTAGGGAGACCAATGAAATGTCAGGAGCGGGACGGTCAGCTGACCACTGAGGCGTGGGTCAGTAGTTAGATCAGAAGCGGAGATGATAGCTTGCAAAGAGAACGGTCAGAGTTAGGTAGACACGGTCGGACATATGTAGAGCTAGATGTTACGGTTATGTGTTGCTGTGAGAGGGTTTGATTTACTTGACTCAGCCAACTACCATTTCACTCGTCTCCAATACCAGGGAGAGAGTATTATACCTTGAGAACCACTAAGTTACAGCACATTCAGACAGATAAACGATAAACGATCAGGAATAAGATGAACCAAGAAATCCTTGTACGAATCTTTTAATCTTGTATCTACAGATGTCTATCTTCCTAAACCCTATCTCTCGACTTGAGTCCTGTCAACAAACACACGTCCTCTCACACCGACGATAAGGATTCAACTGCTCACACATTAACTCATAGCAACCAACTCTCTAACCTAAAACGTCACTATCTTTCGTATCTCGTCACACATTCACTCGTTCAATATACGGCCGCACCATCAATCATGCGCACCGATTTCCCCAGTCAAACATGCATCATAACACTAGATACAGTTAGGTATAGGTAGTAGTAGAGTGGAGATCAGTAGATAGGAAGTTAATTCTGTACAAATTTAATAAAGAACATTATATTTTGTCTTGAACTGAGTGTTGGATCTTTTCATCATATTTATCACCCCCACTCTCACATTTGGTGGTGGTTGCTGTTTATCCCCCCCCCCTCACACCTTGCGTAAACTAACTAGCAACATCACAAGACAGGCATTATATTGGAATACCCAAGGAATGGAGAAAGTAGGTAGGAAAATATCAGTTGTCAATTAAGCAGAACTATGGCGTAGCCAGAAATTGGCCTTGGGAGGGGTTCAAAAATGTTTCCATACGTGTATAATCCTATATATATATATATATATATATATATGAGTCGGGGTCCATGGGGTGGGGGGTGGGGTTATAACCCCCCCCCCTTTGCCTACGCCACTGAAGCAGAAGCAGTCGTATGGTCGTGGACCCAACTTGGAGGAATCACCCAAGAATAGTACGATGGAGAAGTGTGGTTACGTCCCTTTACTCGTGGGCCACTTCAGTATCTATTGGATACCTTTAATAATATTTAAGAAGGGACTCACGCTTTTTAGCGCAATTTCCATTCTGGAGAATTGCGTTTATTAACTCGTCTTTTCTGGGAATGGATGGATGGATGTGTGTCCGCAGCTTTAAGTCGTATCTCCTCCTCAACGAAGCAATATCGAGGACTAGTTCCAAAAGCAATTATGTTAAGCAAGTTACGAGGATGAACATAGGCTATAAAAATTCCGGGTTTCTTTCATGGATTTCCCGGAAAAGCCAAAAAACCTCGGGGGGAAAAAAGCAGTTTTTGGCACATATCTCGGCAACCAGACCACTTAGCGACTTGAAACATGTACCAATCGATTCCTGCCATAATTTAGAACAATATTGCCGAAGAAAGTTTTCAAAAATATCCTTTTCGGTCACAAATTTTTTTTTAATTAATTAAAATTTGGACCGGATTAGTAGGCATTTTATGCAACCACACCACACGCGTCATCACGTTCAATAGCTGCGCCATCACGTTCAATGGCTGCGACGTCACGTTCGGTAGCTGGGCGCGCAATGGTTTTTAGTCATGTTACTCTATCTAATATATAAAGCTCAGTTCTGTATGTAAAGCATATGTTTGTCGTTGGTCTTGGATGGATTTAAGTGTTAGACAATTATCGTGCGCTTTTGTCTAAATTTATGAGTTAAAAAATTACTATTGAAAGTGTTGGGAAATAATTTTCATTTTTCAAATTATAGTAATAATTGTCGGCATGTTCATTAAACACAAGTTTTAAAAAAATATCATCTTTTACAACAATTCTAATTATGTCTTTATTTAGTCCTATAGCACTTACTTCCCTTTGATAAATTAGGAAAACACAATTACTTCCCTTTATAAAACCATTGCATTAGTCGAAAATAATTTACTTTTTAATTACTTTGTTTTGGTGTTGGGAAAAAAAATAATTACATGATTAGCGGGGATTGATCAAGTGCAAATGTTGTAGGTATTTTACGGATAAGCTTGGAGTATTAAAATTGTTCATTAAATTGAAACAGGCGCGTTCGTTTAAGTGAGTGCAAAAGACTATGAATAAGTTGGGGTACTATAGTCGTTCATTAAGCTAAAACAGGTGATTCCGCCCCGGGCGTTTATGTTCGCGTTAGTGTTTTCTTTGTGTTTAGGTGGGTGTGCGTTAGTGGTTGCGTTTTGATTTGGTTCGTTTTTGTTCTTTCTTTTTTCGTTTTTGTTTGTGTTTTTTTCTTTGGGTTTGTATTTGTGTTTTTGGTTGGTTTTGCGTTTGGATTTGGTTTGTTTTCGTTTGCTTTTTCGTTTTTTTTTTATTTTTTTTTGGTATTGGTGTTTGTGGTTGGGTTTGTTGTTAGGTTTTTGTTTTCGTTTGCTTTTTTGTTTGTTTTTTCTTTGTGTTTGTATTGGTGTTTGTGTTTGTGGTTGGGTTTGTTGTTAGGTTTTTGTTTTCTTTTGTATTTGTAATTGTGTTAGCGTTATGTTTGCGTTTTGTTGTTTTGGTTGGTTGTGGTTTGGGTGGGCAATGCCGGGTTTATGATGATTACTAAACACAAAGGTAATGGTCTTTAACAGAAAGGTTTTTCACAGAAGCCAAGCAGGGCCTGGCCGGCTAGTTGTAAATAAAACATGTAAAATACTGAATTTTTTTTTAATAAAAAACGTTTTAATAACTAACCAATGGTTTTACTAACCCTGCTCTTGATTTACGCTACGACAGAGCTATTTTTAGATAACACAAGGAAATTGCGCTAAAATTGTCACTAGACTTTTTTAATTACTTGTTTACTTTCTCGTATATACGAAGTATAGAGAAAGTATTGTAATCGTGCACAAAATCTCTTGAAATTTTAACAATTTTCACCGCATTACACCTCAGTCCTTCATTACATCAGAAGTATAGAGGACTTATTTTAATCGGGCAAAAATTATCAATCCAGATTTATCAAAATTAAGAGGTTTTATGCGTAATCCATTCTGAAATAAACCGGGAGTGATCTCCCCTAAACTTTCTCGAATATTCTTATATAAAACAACAGGGGATGGTAACTGGGGATATAGTTATGATTTTTAATCCATTTTAAATACTGAAACTTTTAAAAATAGAATAGAATCTCAGTAAAAAACAATTGCGCACCAAGCGAACGCCTAATAAAGGTGTGTATAATAGTGCGCAATAGTATTAGTACTTTAAAAATTTACATTAGTTTTTTGAGAAATCGGAAGTAGCGTAAATTAGTACTTCCGGTCAACGGAAATTACTCAAAATTTAACAGAAGGTAGAGAATTAGATCTTTTACTTACATGTGAAATTTCATTTATCTATCTGAAATAGTACTCAAGTTATAGGCTTTTGAAAAATTCAAAGTAGAAAAAGTACCACTTCCGGTTGTCGGAAATCACTCAAAAGTTGATACGGATCTACGATTTTGATATAATACTTATATATTAAATTTCATCAACCTAGCTGTAACGGTACTCAAGTTATCGTGTTTACACACGGACGGACACACAGACACACACACACACAGACATACGGACAAGATTGCAAAATTATGTTTTTCCGTATCAGTGAGGTGTAAAACGTCGAGATTTGTAAAAATCTCGATTTTTTTTTTTTGCACGATTACAATACTTTCTCTATACTACGTATATACGAGAAAGTAAAAACTGGGCTTTGCAATCCTGTGCATATGTCTGTGTGTGTGTAAACACGATTACTTGAGTACCGTTACAGCTAGGTTGATGAAATTTCATATATAAGTATTTTATCAAAATCGAGATCTGTATCAACTTGTGAGCGATTTCCGACAACCGGAAGTGGTACTTTTTCTACTTTGAATTTTTCAAAAGCCTATAACTTGAGTACTATTTCAGATAGATAAATGAAATTTCACATGTGAGTAAAAGATCTAATTTTCTATCTTCTGTTAAATTTTGATTAATTTCCGTTGACGGGAGTAGTAATTTCCGATTTCTCAAAAAACTAATGTAAATTTTTAAAGTACTAATAATATTGCGCACTATTATGCACTTTTTAGCGCAATTTCCATTCTGGAGAATTGCGTTTATTAACTCGTCATTTCTGGGAATGGATGAATGAATGGATGGATGGATGTGTGTCCGCAGCTTTAAGTCGTCTTTAAGTCGTATCTCCTCCTCTTTAAGTCGTATCTCCTCCTCAACGAAGTAATATCGAGGACTAGTTCCAAAAGCAAATGTGTTAAGCAAGTTCCGAGGATGAACATAGGCCAGAAAAATTCCCGGGTTTCCTTCCTGGATTTCCCGGAAAAGCCAAAAAACCTCCAAAAAATGCAGTTTTTGGCCCATATCTCGGCAACCAGACCATTTAGCGACTTAAAACATTTACCGATCGATTCCTGCCATAATTTAGAACAATATTGCCGAAGAAAGTTTTCAAAAATATCCTTTCGTTCGGTCACAAAAAATTAATTACGGAAATTGCGCTTAAATCGTCACTAGACTTTTTATTAACTTGTTTTTAGTGTAAACAATAAGCGAAGTCATTGTTAAATGCGTTCTTGTCCCAAGTTTAAACACTTTTCCGGTCAAATAATTAAAATTGTTTTTCTACATTCGAATACGTCTTTATTTT